GTTGCCTTGGGTTAGACTCAACAAGTGTCTTCAGAGCATCAATATCAATTCCAACATGTTGGCCCCTACCATTCAAGTTTTTAAGGCTAAAGTAACCTGAATGAAATTTGCTGAACCATCGTTTATATATTCTGGTTTGTAAACATTTATAGTAAGTGTTACTAACTGGCTGAACAATCTGATGGACTTGTAATGTAAGAGAAAAAGTGTGAAGTCAAACCACCACAATTTCATGTAATTCAGATGTGTCAATTGAGAATTTAATTAAATATCTCCTTTTGAAAATGAATTACAACTTGAAAAATATAAAATTTTGAATTATAAGCTAAATTTCGATGCCAAAAGTATTAACATACATTGATAATAAACTAGCTTAATTATATTTTGAACGTAACTGTTAACATCTTGTGACATGCACTTTTGACAGTTAGAACCTACTGTGTCTGTAGAGTTAATTTGGTAATTTTTCCTTGCCATCCTGTATATCACATTATAGGTTCACATTTGCAAAATAGAGCTGAGCAACTCACTCATTTGATTGATATAATCAATTACCTATGACCATTGGTTACCTCTATTAATGTCACCTAAAATACTTGATTAAATCACTTAATCTCATGAAATTAACTAGTGTTTTTGATTATCAAATTTTCAATTATTCTAACTATCCATTAATCAAAATCATGGCTAACTTAATGTTATGAAAATAACCAACTAAATGAAATCAGTGTTTCTGATTCTTACCATTTTTGATTATTCTAACTATTCAAAAAATTAATCTAAAAAAACTAATCAAAATATTGCTGTTATGATATCTAATTAATATTTATGATTAATTCAAATTTATTCAGCTCACTAGTCATGACTCACTAAAATAACTAATTAATGAATATTAATTTACAATAATTACTATTTTCATTAACTAATTTACCAATTAATTGAAATACTTCTATTATGTTTGTTGTTAAGCACAAAGCTACATAATGAGCTATCTGTGCTCCGCAAACCATGAGTATTGAAATCCAATTTGTAGCATTACAAGTTTTGTTTTCTTTTAGCCATCTAGTGAAAGTAGTCGATTAGTTGAATGTAATCTATTAAATGACTTGATGATCATTCGATAAACAAATTCCATTAATAATCCAGTTCAAATAGAAAGAGACATCAAAGTGAGTTACAAAAGTTTAAAATACAGAAGATTTTATCCAATTAATCCCTGTTCAGTATTGAACATTGATAAATGTGTTAAACATATTACCTAATTTTAATGTCTTGGAGAAACTAGTATTTACTATCTGGTGAGAAAGTGAGTGTTTAATAATTACTAACTTTATTTCTGGAATAATTCATGAATATTATTTCCAGAAGTTTGAAATTTCTATGTTCTTGTAGGAATATAGTAAAAACCCACTATAAAACAGCATAGAAACTCTACAAGGCTTCATCAAAAGATAAAATTACTTAACAGTGTCAATATTTTTTACTGCCAACAATTTAAAGACTTACTAAAGTTAAACACTAATCAAAAAACATTTTCTAACGTTTTCAAAAGAAATCAATTTTAATTATTTTATTGGAATTGGCAGAAAAAGTTAAGAAATTAATATAAAATCTACTAAAACCATTGGTAAAATAAAAAGCAAAAAATATTGGTAAGTAGAAAATTTACCACTGTTTTGTCTATTTTTTTATTGATTAGTTATATCAATGATTTGAAGAGTTAATACTTCTGAATTTGCTGATAATAAAATACTATTGTTGATCGCTATTCAAAAGGATCTTGACAGTCTCAATAACTAGTGAAAATGTATAAAACAAATTCTGATGTTAAGGAGTTTAAAGTACTAAACATTAAAAATGGAAATAACTCCTCCTTACATTTGTGATAACATGAAAATAGAATTAGGCCACAAATTAGTATTGACTTGTGACAAAAAACCATAAAAGTTTTGGTATTTACCAGTAAGAATTTTAACGACAATATAGTTATTCTCATTTTATAAATGGCTTTTTTGACTCCCCATTTCTCTGAGTACAGAAGTGTTCTGTATGAGGGTTAAAATCAAAAGGTGAGAACAATAAGTTTAAGCTCTGAAAGTGTGGATCTACATTTGTACTTTAAATTCTCTCTCTTATAAACTGGTTGAATTGATTGCCTAATGATTTGGTATTTACTATTAGTTTATAAGTACTTGAATAACTGTTGGATAAATGCATGGTTAAGTTACTGTTAGTTTAGATTTTAATTGTTTAACAATATATCATCAGGCTATGCATTTGTTACTTTGTTCCAATTTCTACTGAAATGGAAGTTTATTGACTCATAAAGTTGAAAAGAACAGAAAAAAGAGCTTTCATTATCACTATCTAGTCTATGACTTCTTAAACTAAGGTATAGGTAGTTACAACACAACTTGACAAATGAAGTTTAAAACCAGTGACTGCATAACTAAAATCACTAACATAAAACTTGTATTAAAGTTACAAGGTTCAAATTAGTGCTATTTTGTTCAAAAGTATTTTGACTTTCCTCCTAGAGAACTGTGTGCACCATATTATAAAATTCACAAACACTAATGTTTGTGTTCAAAAATCACTGAAATAAATCCAGAAACAAATTTTTGTATGTAAAAAATAAAATTACTGAATAAATTTCACCTCTCAAGTTGTTATTTGTTAGTTTTTTTATTGTGGAAGAAAAGATACAAATATATTTTGTATAATATTTAATTCAGTGTCCCAATACTTCCTTCAAGGCAGGATGTACACATACAGGTGCAATAGAATTAAAGAATAAGCAATCAAAATTTACCTTAAAGAAAAACTGAAAATTCTTCTAAGTACAAAGTTTTATTAAGATAATGAAA